ACTGCCGGGACCCCCCACGGCCACGGCCTGGCCCCAAAATCACCCCAAAATCACCCAAAATCACCCCAAAATCACCCCAAAACCACCCCAAAATCACCCAAAATCACCCCAAAATCACCCCAAAACCACCCCAAAATCACCCCAAATTCAGCCCCAAAGAAGCCAAATCTCGGCCCCGCTGCCCCCAGAGTGACCCCTCCCCCCTCACCCGTTTCCGGGGGGGCCCTGCTGACCCCTCCCCCTCCGCCGGGGGCTCCTCGAACGTCACTTTGCGCTTGGCCATGGCTGCAATTAACACACTCATTAGCGTTTTAATTAGGAATAATAACAGCAATTAACCCAATTAACACTAATTAATAATTCACATTATCATTAATCTAACTTAGAACCCCCACTAACCGGYAATTAACCACCAGTTCCCCCATTAACAGCCTTTCAGTTACCCCAATTGTCTTCTAATTAAAAATCCCAATTAAATCCTATAGATTAATTAACGGGCTCCTATTTGCTCTAATTAACCCTCCCTATGACGACCACGATTAGTGCCCCCCAGGCCTAAGTGAAGCCTCAATTAACTGCAGTATCCCGACTATGTTACTCCTCAATAACTACTTTAATTAGCGCTTCTAATTAGCCATCCTCAACCTTCATCAGCATCTTTAAGGAACCGACATTAACACCGCGGCTGCCTCAGAACTGCCCCGGTCCCCCAAGCCTCAATTAACGGCCCCAATTAAACGCCCCGGCTCCCATTCACCCGTTCCTCATTTACATATGCAAATGAGCGCCCAACACTACCGGACCGGGCGGTGGTAGCACGGCTCGCAGTTGGCGGAAGTGACGTCACTGAGCAGCGTCGCCGCGCGCAGAAGTGACGTTGCATTCACCACTGCCTCTTAAAGGCGCGGCGGACCGATTTCCAAGCCAATTACTCTGAGTCCCAATTTTGTCTTTTTTAAGCCTAAAATAACAAGGCAAGGGAAGGGACGGAGCTTCATCGTTCAATAAAATCGTACCAAAGGTTACGGGGACGCGGGCGTGGTTAAAATGTGCGCGAGGGCTCGCACGGGAGAAGCGTTAACGCCGCCGCGCGTGCGCAGAGCGAGGCCCCGCCTCCCCGCTGTCATGGCCGCTGGAAGCAGATTCGTCACCAGAGCCCTTCATTAGAAATAAAATTCGAGAAAAACACCTGAATAGTCCTGAGAACCAGTCAAAAGCTTGAAGACTAAAGGGAAGAAATGGGTTAGAAATGAGCTAAAATGAGGGAAAGCGCAAGGAAACAAGAAGTGGCGAAAGTGCGGGCGGCGAGCAACGGTGGCAGATTCGCTACAACTTGCATGCCGCTCTTCCTCTCCCGCCCTTCGCGTGAAAACTTTTATTCTAGTTTATTAGTTTCGTGTTTTTTTTCCGGCGTTTTGGGCTGTTTCGAGCGCTTTTCGAGAGTAGAGGAAAAAGAGGGAGGAACGTGTGTGGAAAGTGCGGCGCGGCCGTTGAGGTCTCGCGAGAGCCGCGCGGACGCGACTTCCGGCGTTGGCACCGCCCCCTCCCCACAGCCGCGACCGGCGGCGGCTCCGGGACCTCGAAAAACCAAAAAAAAAAACCCCCGAGCCTTCAAAATCCCCCCCAAAAACCGCAGCCGGGGCCTCCTCGGTGAGCGGGAATCCCCCCCGCGCCTCTCCCGGCCCGCGGAGGGGACGGCGGCGGGAGCGGGAGGTGAGAGGGGAGCGGCGGAGGCGTGAAGAAGAACTGGTGGGGTGTGAGGGGGAGG